TGTGTGTGTGTCTGTGTGTGTGTGTGTTTGCACTGCTCGGTTGTCCTTTGTTTGTTCGTCTATTTGTTCTGCGGTGGGCTGGCAGGCAAACAGCGGGGGGGGCGGTGGGGCGCTCGTGTTGCGTCGCCGCCGCCCCCCGTCGTTGCGGCTGTCATGCGCCGCAATACCCGCCACCACGCCAGGGCGCACGCAGCCGCGATCCACTGGTATATTTCTCCGACTCCTGGCGTGCAGTACGCATAGCTATCGATCGTGAGAGGAAACGAAAAAAAAGAGGGTAACAGAGAGAAACAACAACAACAACCAAAAAAAAAAGGAAGAAATGAGTGAAAGAAAGAAGGAGGAGAGAGCCAAAGAAAAGAAAAGGCTCAACGGCAACAACGAAGAAAATGAAAGCCAAGCCACAGTAACAGTAGAATATGATTGCCGAGAAATGATGATGATTATGATGAAGCCAACAGCAAAGAGGAATATATATCTCTATATTAACATTACAAGGAGGTGGTCTTCGTGTGGTAGGCATGTTGAAATGCCCCACATCTATGGGGTGCTCGAGCCGCGTCTGTTCTTTTGCATTTTGCCCACCTTTCGGGTGCGTGTTCGTTGTAGCTGTGTATGCTGGTGCGTATATGCGTGCATCTCCCTCTCTCTCTCTCTCTCTCTCTCTCTCCGTGTCTCTCTTTGTATTTGTCCCGCTGGTCGTGTGTGTGTGTGTGTGTGTTTTGCTTAATTTGGTTTGGCCTCGCCGCCTTCCTGAATCGTGTGCGTGTCGCATCATTACAAAGTGTGTGTGAGGGAGTCCAAGTCAGAGCGAAGACCAGCACCTGCACCCCGCCAAGGAAAACAAAACAACCACATCAAAAAGGGAAAGGGTGCGGAATAGCCGTAACAGCCAAGTAGCAGGGAGAGAAGAATATCAATATAATACCACACAACTAACGTGGGAGAGGGATATCCCAGGAGCAAAGCAAGCCGAGCACATATATCTATATACACCAAGGAAAAGTAACTCCCACCGAACAAACAACAACAACAACCACAAGAAGCAAATACACAAGAGATGGGTGTTCACGAGGCTGAAACGGTCCACATGCTTTCTAAGCAAGAGCTGCTGGCGGAGCAGATCAAGGAACTGCAGCATAACTACAAGGCCAAGCCGCATCTTGAGTACACTACTATTCGCGCTGTCAACGGTCCGTTGGTCATTCTGGGAGACGTGCGCCTGCCGACGTTCGCGGAGATTGTGAACATCGAGCTGTCTGACGGCACGATGCGCCGTGGCAAGGTGCTGGAGGTGGACGGCAACAAGGCTGTCGTGCAGGTGTTCGAAGGGACCTCCGGTATCGACGTGCTGCACTCCAAGTGCGAGTTCACTGGCAAAGTCATGGAGCTTGGCGTCAGCGAGGACATGCTGGGCCGCGTCTTTAACGGCTCCGGCATCCCTATCGACAACGGCCCGCCGGTACTTCCTGAGCAGTACCGCGACATTCAGGGCATCCCCATCAACCCGCGTGCACGTGTGTACCCGGAGGAGATGATCCAGACAGGCATCTCGTCCATAGACATCATGACNTCCATCTCGCGTGGGCAGAAAATTCCGCTCTTCTCTGGCGCCGGTCTCCCGCACAACGAGATCGCTGCTCAGATTGTGCGGCAGGCCGGTCTCGTGAGGAAGGAAGGCAAACAAGAGGACTTCTGTATTGTCTTCGCGGCGATGGGCGTGAACCAGGAGACAGCACGCTTCTTCCGTACTGAGTTTGAGGAGAACGGCTCGATGGAAAAGACTGTGCTCTTCATGAACCTGGCGAATGACCCGACGATTGAGCGCATTGTCACGCCGCGTCTTGCCCTCACCACCGCCGAGTACCTTGCGTACGACTGCGGCAAGCACGTGCTCGTCATTCTCACCGACATGAGCTCCTACGCTGACGCGCTGCGCGAGGTCTCTGCGGCGCGTGAGGAGGTGCCCGGGCGGCGTGGCTTCCCTGGCTACATGTACACCGACTTAGCGAGCATCTACGAGCGTGCTGGCCGTGTGCTGGGCCGCGCCGGCTCCATCACGCAGATCCCAATTCTCACGATGCCGAATGACGACATCACGCACCCCATTCCTGATCTCACTGGCTACATTACGGAGGGACAGATTTACATCGACCGCCAACTGCACAACCGCCAGCTGTACCCGCCCATCAACATCCTGCCGTCGCTGAGCCGTCTGATGAAGAACGCCATTGGCGAGGGCATGACACGCAAGGACCACGGCGGCGTCAGCAACCAGATGTACGCTGCGTACGCTATCAGCCGTGACATTTTGGCCATGAAGGCTGTTGTTGGTGAGGAGGCGCTGAGCAGTGAAGACCTGCTCCACCTGGAGTTCCTCGAGAAGTTCGAGAAAAAGTTCATCTGCCAGGGCTTTTACGAGGCACGCGATGTGTTCCAGAGTCTCGACCTCTGCTGGCAGCTTCTCCGCACATTCCCCAAGGTGCTGCTCAACAAGATTGATGTGAAGACCCGCAATGAGTTCTATGACCGCCAGCCCGAGCGGTTGTAGAGGAAAATAGCGGATAAATCTCCTGTCGCCCCTCCAAACCAAACAAACGGAAAAACACAACAACAGCGANTGAGCGGTTGTAGAGGAAAATAGCGGATAAATCTCCTGTCGCCCCTCCAAACCAAACAAACGGAAAAACACAACAACAGCGACAGCAGCAAAGCACCCCCTAAAGATGCAGTGGAGTGAGACGACACACCCCCCACACGCCTACGCAGATGGGGAATCGGGGAAAAACAAAAAAAAAGGACCCCGAACCGGCGCGAAGGGCCAAAGTGGGGAGGGTGTGTTGTGCGGGTGTGGTGCCACCGCCCCGAAAGGGACGAGTCCGCACGCACCGTCAGGGAGGGAGGGAGAGTGAGAGAGCGAGAGGAACGAGTCGATGGAGGGGAAGGAGGGAGAGTTGCTGTAACAATTCGTCCCACGCGGAGCGGTGAGGCGTACACGAGCAGACGGGACATGGAAGGGTGAGCGGGTGTGTGTGTGTGTGTGTGTGTGTGGGAGTTGTGCGTACGCGCGCCAACCGCGGCGTGCCGATGGACGCAAATGGAGGGAGAGAAGGTGTGGCGGTACTGAAATCGCGGACGTAAAAACAACAACAAGACCAACAAAAAAAAAAAAA